ACGATATAGTTTGATGTCCCACGACAAACACTAAGAGATCATCGACTAACACATTTTAATATTGTCTTTGCATATAGACATGTAAAACTTTTAAGAGCCATATGACAAATTTGCACTCTGTGAGATTAGATATTTTGAAGCGTTCCGAGTTCTCGACAACTTGTTCAAGGTCACGAGTCCACAATACTGTGTTGAAACTACGACCAAGCTATTTTGGTACATTTCCCAATTTTTGTATTTTCTTAGTATTTCTATGGTGAAATACATTATCGATTCCCGAATACTGGGAGGAACAAAATGAGCGACACAGCCGAAAGTTTCAAGTTAGGTTACATGCAAACGTTCATTTTATTTGTCAAATATTTCAAAATAGAGAAGGTGTAAAAATGGAGTAAAAACTTTAAATTTCTCAGTGTTGACAGCCCTATAACGCGCATGCGCAGTATCGATTGTGTGAGGATTACAACGAACCGCTAAATATATTAATTTAATTATTTACCGATATCTTAATGATAGTCAATGCTGAAAATGTCTACTTCCTCTCTGTAGACTGAGCTAAGCACGCTCTTTTCAATGCCGGTGCATGCATGCGCAAAACACATCACATTTCACACAAAACTAAACACAATCTTCACTAAACTAAACTTAACACTCAAGACGAACACTCTAGTATCTTATTAACAAAAATTCAATTAAAATTTCACTAGAACAAAACAAAAATCGACAAAAAAGACGCTTCGCAGCGGAGCGTCGGCGGCGATGCGCAACAACACTCCAGCGCAAAAGGTCGGCGGCGTCTGATCGGACGTAAAATACAGACAGAATAATGAAACCACCTGGCGGCAGTGTTGCCAGGTCATTTTTTTGCGTTCCCCAGACTTTATATCGGTTTACCCTAGATTAAGCATATTTTTGAAAAAATACTCTAAACAAATTCCTATAAAAATCACCCATCTTTAGAGAGCTAGTTAACCTCCGGACCTCACTCCACAACTCACTTTTTATAAGCGATAAACATTGTTTTCTTGCATTGCAAATTCCAAAGAAAAGACAATTGGAGTAAGTTGATACAAAAATTGTGAAAAAGTGATAAATTGACGGTTAGTCATAAAATCTTGTATATGATAGTCTTTATTTAAGTTTATTTTTTACAATTGAATAAAGAAAGAAAGAAATAAAACTACAGCTGCTTTGGGGCCGTCCATTGATCACGTGACGTTTTTTTTCATCAATTTCTAACCCCCCCCCTCCTCCTTGGCGATACATGGTAAGTTTAAGACTATAACCCCCCCCTCCATCCAAATCATGTGTATTTTTAGTACCTATAAAAAATCTTAATTTTTGACGCCGCTTTTCGGTTCAGTAATCGCCGCATGTTATAAAAATCGTGTTCCGATTAAGATTCAGCTTCAGTTCAGTTGTAAATATTAAGCGCGATCGGGCTCACTCGTTGATGCCATTTTTCACAACTATAGAGTAAGTAGGCAACTACCTTTCACACCTTGTTCACACAAGCTTTCACAAGAAACATACCACAGAATACTTACTCCAACAAGCTCCAACCACATTTAGGCTACAGACAACAGACACAATCGAAAAAAAGACAGGTAAAGAAATTGATTTGCGTTAATACTGCAAACTGAGAGTTTTTTGTCTTTGAGAGTTGATTAAATAATATGTTATTAAACGTTAAAGCTTTCAAGCTATTACCTGCTATTATTGGTCACAAATCTCATGGTGTGCGGTATCGTTAAAAAGAGAGTTAATACCAATCGCCATGCCCCGCTCCGCCCCACTACCACCCCTTCAGTTCAGCTAAATAAAAAAGATTGATCGCCCCTCCCATTATTGGCTTTTGCGAACGTCGCTTAATCTTCGCAATCGCAGATCAAGCGCTAGAGCGTTTGATAGTTAGTACTAATGGTACACATAGAAGAACAGAAGAGAGCAAACCCGGCCACTTCCGGCAGTGCCTGTCCCACCCCATTCAAATAAAAGAAATTGATCACCCGTCCCATTACTGGCCTTAAGAAACGTCGTTTAATCTTTGTAAATGCCTATTTCACTCCACCCAGCTCAGCAAAATAAAAAAAAAGATCACCCATCCGACTACCGGCCCTTGCAGAAGTCGCTTAATCTTAACAATCGCAGATCAAACGTGCAAACTAATTGTACATATGAACGCGAAACCGTAAACCAACACACCACATAATTAAAAATAGTTAAGTAAAAATTTAAAAGACCCCCGACACAATATAATAAAAAAAAATTAAGTTAAAAGCTTGAAAACAAATTTAAAAAACTATAACTTAATTGTCCACAAATAATGCAAAAAAGGGATAAACGTGAAACCCACACACACACACACGCACACGCACACGCACACGCACACACACACACGTTAAACTTATAACACCGCGACATTTTTGCGTCAGGGATTAAAATATATTGAAAGTTAATCCTTATTACGTAAGTCAACTTCTAGTGAAAGTCCCTTCAAAATCGGCCAAGCCGTTTCAGAGATTAGCCAGAACTAACAGACAGACAGATAAAAAATATTATTTTTGTATATGTACCGTGTATACACACAAATGTATTTAGTGAAAAGCGGTTATTTTAATATTACAAATATGCACTTCAATTTTTATGTACTAGTATAAGTGTATTGAGAGAAGAAGTACCTTGCTTTATTTACATTTCTTAATATAAATATATATTTTAACTCTCTTATACAATTATACCTAGGAGTCTTTCGACCCATGCTGAAAATAACGAATGTGTATTAGAAATAATTTAACAAGCTATATAAATTCCATATAAATCGAACTTCGTGATCAAAGTTGGAAGTCCCACTATACTGCTCTATTAATGCTCGCTCGAACATAGCTAGATCGAAAATGGCGCGAAGTAATGCGACACAGGTCCAACGTTGAGGAGCGCTCGCGCGGTACTTTGCTCAGACGGCCGCTGCATCGTATTTTGTAGTGATTTTGCGTTTACATTTATCGTTTTTATTGAAATAATATAATAAATGTATGCTTTAAAATTATAATATCTTTGTTCCTTATGAAATAGTCATTAATCTGGCATAAATTTTGTTAAATAATATTGTTCTGGCTAAGAGAAATTCAAAGTTAACTTCAAGCATTTTTGATGTTTTTTGGTTTATAATATGATTTTTTTTCTATATTTAATCAGTGCTATTTCAAAATTTCGACGCCACTGTTTACTTTACGACTATATAAGAGATATCATTCTATTTTTTTATATTTCGTTTGTTAAGTACAGTAGCCCAATCCAGGAGCTCAAAAAAAGTATCTTTGCGTATTTTATGAAAATCTTTCTCTGGTATTTCGGGTTTAATTAAAAAGATGAGCAAAATTTCCAAAAAGTTAGGCCACTTATTTCTAAACCAAGAGTTATTGTTCACTATTCAACAAGTTAAAATTGTTAATTTATTTTTGTTTCCGAGAAAAATCACGCAATAATCACAATTTAGATGTAATATGGGTCTTAACTAAGAAAATATTTATCATGCATAAGCGTTTTTCTCGCGATCGAAGTAAATTAGTTATTGCCACCGAAGTTTCCCTCGTTATTCTTGTTGCCAAACTACGACTATAAACGCACGCGAGCTTAATAATATATTAAAAATGGTGGCATATTTGAAACCCCTGGGAAACATAGATCAGGTCGTCCTTAGAAAGAAATGGTTAACTGCAACATTTGTGCACTTCGACAAAAGATTCAGTTCTTTTACTTTGTGAAAAAAGAGGTACCTACATGAAGAAAACTTCAGTTGATTGCCAAAACCGTAAAATTCTGAAATCGATTGGGTTTTACAAGAAGTCTCAAAATAACAGGCTTTAAAATAACAGGCTTTAATCGAAAACAAGCACTATTGCAGTAAAACGAGATAGTAATCGTAATTTATCAAAAATTACGATTACTATATAGTCATCTTCAATGTAGAATAAATTTATTGTCTACGAATTATACGCCTTACTTTACCTTTTCTGGGGAAATTGAAGTAAAAAAAATATCCGGTTTATATTACTATAAATAAAGAAAATCCTACTACCAAAATAATTTGTCTCGCTACACAGGGTTGCTACGCGCACGATTTCAGTGCCCTCATTTTTTTTTCATGACTTTATAGACAGACTGTATTATGAATTATGAATAAAAAAACCGGGTATGATGGCTAATTCCAAATGTTGAAACTCGAAAACTCGTGCCACACTTGCGTCTATGTAAGGCAATGCCTTAATATAGCCCATAGATTTTAAGTTGACAATATTTATATGTATTTTTATTGTATATATATATAGATATATTCGTAGTTCATATGTAGAGATATCAATAGCGTATTGTCGCCAATCGTCACTTTAAGTTTTGCACTAAATTTTCTGGTTGACTGGTAGAGAATGCATCTTTGGCATTCCTCGGAACCCGGTTAGTAATGAATGGGTATTCGTGATTTTTTCATTACTTAGTTACAAGTATAAATAAAAAGTTTACTTACTTTATAATATTTCCAGATCTTAATAAAAAAAATATTGGACAGAGTTCCATTGGAAGACTGGGAATAATCCGAGTTTTCATACATTTTCTATGAGCACCTCGTTATTTTTTTCACTTAAAGCTAGATTTTATGAAAAATAGCAAGTAAATAGCAAAATAGTGTCCTTGGCGCCTCAAACGTGAAATTCACAAAGGCATATTAGGGGGTAGAATGTCTGGTTGCCGATGCAAGTAGCTAGGTTAACCACACGCAGCCGTTATTTTGTTTATTAGAATTAGACGAAATAATAAAATATTTAAGTACATAATGGCGGGTGATTTATTTTAGTTTTGATTTTTCTCGGTAACACTTCCCCGTCGATTGGTCGAGCTCCTCGGACACTTGAACTCACTGTCATTGCAAATGGAGCCGTGATCTGGTTGCGATAAATATTATTCTTAGAATATGTTCCACATTAAACAATTAGGTAAAGATGTTAGTTAACTTCTGATAACTCGCCTATTCTTCTAGAAAATTCACCAAGCCCCGTTTTGTTCGCAGTAATATAATATATCTCCTCAGACATGCGGTGAAGCCAGCTCGTCAACCGCGGGTATCTAAAAAAAATATTTATATATTAATAAGATGTTAAAAAAAATACGTGTAAAAAGGGAAACAGAAATACAATCTAAAACAGTGCCTACAACGATTGGTGATTCAATGATCTGTGGATGGTCTAGGATTTGATAATCGAAGTCAAGTTGGAATACATTGTGTAAAGCGTTTACTTTCTGATCCGTTATAATGCATATTGAACCAACACTTGGTTTACAAAATTCAAAGAATGGAAAGAGCGGTAACTTAAATTACTATTTCCTATCCTTTTATTCACATTAGCTTCCTTGCGAGGTAAGCAAAGAAAAAAGAGCACCACTTACAAATACATACGTACTATTGACTAATTTAAATTCTGATATTTATTCAATTATAATTCTTCTGTTGGTTTCGTTTGATTTAAAGCGCTTCCTGGTCGTGCAACTAGAACACTTTAATGAAAGCACTTTTAGCATATAGGTTTACCTACCGGTTTTGGTCTATGGGCACAAGGACATTTAGGGTACTGACAGTGGCGACGATACTAATGTCCCCGAGTGTTGGCCAGTTGCCCCCCAACCATGTTTTGCCCACCAGCATGTGTTCCAGGTCACAATAAGCGCTTTCAATGTCAGACACGTGTTGCGGCATCACGAAGTTACAGTTCTCGTATAATACCGGATTCTGTAGATGGTGATGGATGATATATATGTATATGTATAAGAAAATTTAGAACCTGCTTATTTATCTTTAATACAAGACCTCGCTACTTTGTAATAAATTAAAAAAAGCGTAGTGTATTTATCCTCGATATATGTAAATTTGTATGTTCACAAATTTACACATATCATGTACACACATAGATAAATACAAAACCTCTTCTTTTTAAATTCTGTTAACAACATTAAAAAAATCACTAACCGCGGCTGCTCGGTATCGAGGATACAGAATTCCACTGTCGAAGTGTAACAGTTGTTCTATAAGAGAATTCCCTCCAGGATCTTTGGGCAGGAGCCGACCAGTATTGTGATATCGTTTGGCCAGATATATGGAGATGGCGTGACTGCAATATAATTTCCATATTAAAGAATATATTGTTATTATTAACGTACAACAGGCTAGATATTACGCGAATAAAATTTTTTACCTGTCATTTAATACTAGCTCGCGATCTTTGAATACGGGCAAAGTTTGAAGCGGATTGAGCTGTAAAGTAGTTTCTTACATTAATTTTCTTTGAAAGTCGAATTTGAGTGTTAACATAATGTTATCAAAGTATTTGAAGAGGTCGTATATCAAAGACCTACTATCGTCAGCTCGGGAGATCTATGCTCTCCCTTGTCCATGTTTACATCGACTTCGGTGATACTCAGGTTCATAGCGTCGAGGGTCATCATGACGGCGCGGCATGGAGGGCTGCGGTCCGCTTTCCATAAAGTACAATGCCTGTGGAACGATGACAATTATGATAGTATTTATCGTATTACAAATAAAGTATTTACAGCCAAAAAATGAATGTCCAGGGTGACAAACAATTGAAAAAAGAGATTTATTTGAATTAGTTAGTTACACGGTCTAAGAAGACACTACATATGTTAATAAGAATAAGTTGAATTAGTTACTTAGTTTAATACTAGCTTAGAAAAGTATTTAAGTAGGATATTTTATACCTTACTCAAGAAAAATTCTTATCTAACAATGAAAATTGAATATTATTTCGTTGAGTTTGGGTGGAGTTATATAGTCTGAATTAAAAACCTAACAGATGCAGTATGTTAAACAAAATGCTAATGAATTTAATTTATTCTTTTGAAGTAACACAAATATTACTTGAGACCGCTTGGAATTATTTTTTTACTGCCACCAGCTCCCATTTTATGCTTTTTTCATTGAAATGTAATTCATAGTTCCAAATGTTACAGTTTTATTGATTGTTTGGTTTATTAAATATTGATAAAATTTATTAAAACTGAAAAATAAAATGTTATTTAATTTGCGGAGGAGAGAGTTTGTAATTAAAAAAATGTTATTGGGATATTGACAATTTCAGAGTAAACTTTATAAAGAGTATAAACGGTGGCATCAGAAAAATCATTTTGAAAGACACTTATATTGCAAAGAGATTTTAAGCACATTTTAAATCGATATTAAAACAAACTAAAAGAGCTATAAAGATAGGGTACGATAAAATAAAAGGCAATAAGGGACAGCGTAATAAGGAACAATAGCGGTGTGTCACTCGCTGCTGTAACAAGGTAAATTATTTGTATACTGAATTGCTCAATAAATTATTATTATTCTTTCTCCCTCTCTTTATTTTAATAATGTATTTTTAATTACATGACAGGTTTATGTATACAAATTCAAAATTTATCCTGCTTGAGCCATTTCATTCTTTTTTACCATTTTTATATGCTTTATATGTTCATGTTTTGTCCAATGCCTGCCTATATTAGGCATCTACTTAAAAAACATCTTAGCCAGTTTGCCTGTTGCTGCTTCATAAATAAGCAGGTAACAACTGAATGTTAATGTAATACGATGCCTTACTTCCACTGTACCACAGCACAGAGAGTCGCGGTCGACCCGGGTCGTCTACATCGGTTATTATTAGCAGTTCATTGTAAATACAGTTTTATACTTGATTTATTAAATTAAAAATGTCATACATTTTAATTAAATCATGGCCGCCATTGATAAGTTTGAACATTCAATATTCCACATTTAGGTAAGTATATATTTATTTAAAATTTTAGTAAGGCACAATACATTTATTTTTTAACTTAAGAATATCTAATGAATGCTTAAAGGGCTACATAAGCTGCTTGATTTTAAAACTTCTATCATGTGTTTAAAAGTACTCGTTTTAATGTAATCAATTATATTGTTTCGTGTATGTAATTATTTGTATCATAATTTTTTCAGTCATTTAAATGAATAGAATATCTGTAAATATAGACCGATTATAGTTAATCCAGTTTATTGTTATGTAAGGCATATGTAAACTGTAGCACGCGTTAAGTTCTTTGTGTACGTTATTGTGTTTTTCATAAAAAACAATCCTTTATATCATTGGCATATTAAAGTTAACTGAGAAAAAAATTAATAAGTATGAACGCGTTTTTTGTCAAGATCTAGCAACGCTTTTTGAATTGTGTCGATGCTTCCTGCAGGTGATTTTTTTTAAAATAGGTCCAGTAGGTTTGAAGCCTATAGAATTCATACAAAAAATTATTCCTCTTGATAATATTAGTATAGAATATATAACCTTTTTTTTTTGTAGGCGATGGCGCACTGCATATTATACAACCAAGCCAACTCTTTATGGTGACGAAGCCTCACCTCCGGTTAGGTTCGTCATGATGACCGCATCTCTACTAGGAATCGAGTTAAAATTTCATAAAATCGATTTATTTTCTGGTGAAAATAAAACCCAGGAATATACAAAGGTATTATAATTACATTACAGCCTGATTCACCGAGTTGCTTAAACGTCAATGTTTAATGCTGACTCTAACGCTAATGTCGCTTTAAAGTAATGAACATATAAATGGAGGACTGTGCAACTGGGTATTAAGACTGTCGAATGAATCTCATGTTTCGTTTAATACAGATTTTTCTATGACTTTAAAAAAACAATGGCTTTTTTTTCAACCATATTATTTAATGTATCTTAGGGTCACCAACCCTTTTGTTTTTCCAGGGTAGGTCCTGATTTTTATAGTGCCTTGGAGAGTTTTACAGCCAGTTGCAGAAACATCAATTAAAATTTCCATTAGTTTAAAGTGACATTATCTCCCATACAAATTTGACATTCATTAGAGCTTAAAGGTTTGTGCAACTGAACGTTAGGGTCTTATATGATTTGTACAGTAACACGCTTAAAAATTGCTTAATTTGAAGTATTATTCATTAAATTTGTAAAATCTTTTTTTTGAGTTCTGTCCGGCAAAATATTATCACAAGTGTTGCACAGCGCGACGGAATCCAGCTATTGTTGATCAGATAAAAACTTTGATAAAGTCATACTCAACTTGTTTTTCATATTAGGTAATTACTTCGTTTACAGTCGATCGACTTTATTTAAAGACTAGCTTTTGCCCGCGACTTCATCTGCGTGGTATAGTTAATTTTGGCTGTATTTTCCAAAAACGCTGTTGTTTCTCCAGCTGATGATGAAATTACCTTGATATTTAAGTTCGAAGATACTACACTAATAAAAAAACAACAAATATCCAATATGTTTCAGCACTTTATCTTTGAAAACTTTAAAGATATTAATCCAATGCAATTCAATTTGAAATATAGATGAAAAATAGTACTGTAGTTTACACAAAACTTAATCGAAGATGTAGTCTACGCAAAATTCTTTGATAGAAACGTTAGCGCAGATTACTTTAGCATAAACGCCATCAAGTATAGCAAAGCTTAAATTTCTTAATACATTTTATTTTAAAACTCACTACTCTACTATCAATACTTTAAGATTTAAAATGAAATGGAGAAATTCAACAGTTTTGTATAGCCTGATGTGCTGTTAACTGTACGGCAAAATATTATCTACGTTGGCAGCACTTTACACTATGTTGATTATAGAAATTTATGAATAGAAAAATTGTCTCTGGAGTTATACATTATTATAACGTTGAAGTGATTATTAAAATAAATAAATCCACATTTAAATTCCAATAAAAAAATATTTCATTTTCCGAGTAACTTAGTCGCGTAGTGGATAAGCACCGCGGCCGGCGGTCGTTGTAGTTAAGCAACTTTTGCAAAGGTCATTCAAGGGATGGGTGACCAAAAATAAGTATCTCAATCTACTCCGTGCTTTGGAACGAACATAAAGCCCGGGAGCATTTGCAGTCTTATACCCTCCAATATGCATTGCGCCAGCGTGGAAGATCATGGCCCATCCTCCTTACCACCATCTATAACGAAGGCCTAAGCCCTTGCAGAAAGGAGTTAAAACTTTTGTATTCTCTAATATAGGTATTTTTCAGCCTCTGGAGCTAGGTCGCAATCCTGTCTTTATTATAATCTGCGACATAATCCATAAAACTATGGAAATAGACTTTTCTGCTGCACCTTCGCACTGCACTCCTACATTTATCTCATTGAACTTAATCAAATAATTGTTTTCCGTTGCTTAGTCACCCTACTTTCTTTAATTTGTTGTATAACCTAAAAATGAAAATAAATTATGTATCATAAAAACAATGCGACACCAGCGTCTTTTACTGAGACTTAAGTAACTATTTTACGACATGATAGCTTACTCTTGGCCACATCATGAAGAAGTCATACTATCAGCCGCCTATATCGTTAAACGCAAATCATTGGTCAGGCCACACCATGATGTGGGCAGCTAGATTTTTCCATTTCATGAAATACAAAGATTTCATGAAATGGCTGGCCGCATCATGAATTGGTCAATCCTACGATCTGACCACGATATTTATACTTGGAAACCTATACTTAAATGCTTACATATTATGAATGAACAAATTTAATAAAATATGATTTGTAACAATTATTAACTTGAAAATCTTAGGTTAAGACTTATCAATCTTCAATAAATTAATTACTGATGAAACGAAAAACACAAATAATTACAATTTCTTTAATCTAAACTCGGAGCAATATTTTAATGTTTTTGATTTAAACCCTGCACGAAGTTCTTTGATCAAAATAATATTACGATTTAGAATACACTCGCTATCAGCTGACTGAAAAGTTATTATAGGCAAAAAAATTTGCGATTTAGAATTCATTTAACGCCATTCTTTCGTAAACATAATTACTTGAATTTGAACATTTTTATCCATTAAAAGGAGAATGGGCAATTTACTATGAGAGTTCGGCTATTTTTGCGTAACTATGCACCTTGTTGAAACTAACGGCAAATGAAAGAGAATTATTATTAGAATGAGTAGGAAAAAAATAATTTTAAATTTATGCAGGAGTTGGAGAATATCTGAATATTTAACAAGGATTTTGAGGTTATGTCGTTATAATATCTATGTATACAAGAGCAATAAAATGAATTATTTATTTCAAATAATTGATGACTAACAGATAGATACATTTATGTTTTAAAAGTACATAACTATGTTATAAAAACGAATGCTTTGTTTTTTTTTATTTTAGCTGACTTCTGCCCATTCTCCTTTCAAAAATGTAATATTTACTCAAAAATTTACTCAAACAGTTTTGATCGCTATGCAATAAAATATTTTGTTAATAATATTAGGAAATTTAATTACATTGACAAACCAGATTGTAAACAATGGTTGCTATGGTAACATTTTGATTCCCTATAAAACTCCCATATTTATTCCTTATTTCCGGGATAAAATATAACCTTTTACCTTCCTAGAGTCATAAACTACCTACCCAAGTAGCACAAAATACTATTATATCAAACTTATAATAGCACGAGTCCAAGCGTTAAGCATTATAATAAAATCGTATATCAACCGTATTTCTTTTAAACGACTCTTATACGTAAAATTTGGGCCCCCCTTTGTACGACTTTAAGCTTTATAAAAGCTGTGCAATAGCACTACAGCTTTTGTATAATAATTGAATGTTATTAAAATTCTTACTGTTTTATTTCCTTTGTAAAAAAAGTGTATTTAATAGATTTTAAAAATATATAATCGGTTTAAGTTATTGTTTTGTGTGTCATGACCAGTGGTCGGAATTAGGTAGAGTTATTCATGTACTTACACTGATTTCATACAGCGACAGAATAAAGTGGATATGCCTCAAATCCCGAGATTAATTTTAAAGAGCAGAAAAAAATCTCATGATTTTTTAAACAAAAAGTTATTTACTTTTACACAATTTAAACTGCTGCACACACGACGTT